GAAATCATCAACTCACCGCTGGAAGGTTCTTCCTCGACTTCATCCTCGTTGTCCTCACCCAGGTCCACCGAGTCCTCGGTCATTTCGTCAATTTCAGGATCATCTTCTATCTGACCACAGGAATAATCCCGACATGTCAATTAAAATATTATTTAAATGATAGAAGAAATAGAATTTTGAGTACAGAAATCACCTACTTCTTCCAAAGGTTCATCGCTGTCATCGTCGATATCATTGACCCCAGGGATTCCCACGAATTCATACGACACATCATTATTTTCCTCATCTTCCTCATCATCATCCTTGTTTACTGCTGCTGTGGTACTGACTCCTTCAATACTAACATCCAGAAGTTCTGCCTCTGCCTCATCCTCTTCCTCATCTTCATTCTCATCTTCCTCAATTTCTCTCTCTGCCTCGTCATCATCAACTTCCTCTAACGTTCCCGAATCATTTTCCTCCTCTCTCTCGTCATCATCATAGTAATTATCCTCGCCAACACCAGGAGGTCCAGTCTCACTGTCTTCATCTTCCTGCTCCTCCTCATTTTCTCCCTCATTAGAAATTTCTTCCTCCGAATCAGCCTGCTCAGCTTCCTCATCATCTCCATGATCCTCTTGCTCTTCTTGATGTTCCTCATCCTCTTCGTGACTTGCAGCCTCATGATCACCTTTATCATGGGATTCTTCATGATCATCATGTAAGGACAACGAATCGTCTACCCAACCTTCGAATATCATCGCCCATCTTGAAGAAGCTACAGGTGTATCAACTGAAAATCCGAGGACTAGTCATAATTTTATAACTATTCCAACGAGAATTTTGGAGATGAGGAATAATTACCGTCGGTTGATCCCCTAGATTCCAAAATAATTACACCAACGAGACCCACGAGAACAGACAAAAGTACAAAGAATATTATCTTAGCACACCAATGCCCCCCTGTCCCTCCCTCTTTGTGAATATGTATTGTGACATTATCTCCATGATCCGAGGGTCCAATGAGCGTTGGAGGTGGGGTGCCAGCATCCTCATCTTCTAGAAAACCAAAAGACCACATATTTTCACTGAATTAAATTATCCTGACGTAAAAAATGCCAAGTGAAACAGTAATGCCAAAAAAAAATAAGAAATCATACCAAGACACTGTATCCTCTGTATATAGTACTCGTGATCGGCTAAAAATCAGGTTTAGTGTGTTACCAAAAATTTTAATAAAGAACGAGAAATGCAGTACTATTTATAGTACCTGTGGGATAATCGTCGTTAAGTACAGACGATATATTTTATTGCCTAGAAATATTGAATTATTTTAGTGACATTTTGAGTCCTCGAGTTTCACGGTTTTGTAGTGGATATTGAAAATTTTCAGTGCTTTTGGCAATTTTTGGGAACGATGATAAGTGTTTGGATACTCGTTTTTATGACGAAAATAAAGAGGATGGATATTAGCTAAAAATAATTCTACCCACCGTGTAACTCGCGTTACGAAAGTTTTGTCATCTCACCTCTTTTACGTCTCTTCTCTTTTCGTTTTCTCGGTTGTACATCACCCGACATATTATACCTTCACTTGAAATAAATTCCGATAATTAATCGATAATTTAAACTCGTTATTATCGAAAATTTGGGGAAACAATTGGAATAACTGTTGAAATTTTCAATTTCTCTTCGCGGATGCGCAGTAGCGCAGCCAGTGCTCAAGCTCGAACTCACAAAAGTATTTGCATTACTTCTAAAAGCATTGAGCTTCATCGACAAGTACTCCCTCTTACCGACAACAATCCCTCCCAAATGATCACCTCAATGACCATTAATTCAAATCAATTCATTTTATTTTAATCAATAATTGAAAT